GCGTTTCGGATGGTCACGTGTCTCCCCGTGACCACGGCTGCTGCAAAGCATCCGAAACGTCGGGCCGAAATTAAAAAATATTTTCATATAAGTGTAACTAATATATCGCGTTTTAAACCGTTAAAGTGTTTTATTTAAATAATGTTTGAAGTTCGATATTAAAGCTTAGCTTATGAACTAGCTAATCATGAAATTACTTTTACATAAATTATTATATCTTTATAAGTTATTCCGCATCTAAAAACGTCCGGATATTGACTTCCTTTTAACAAATTCCTACCCAACGAGACATAAATAAATTCTGTAAGTAATATTTCCTGTTGGCAGTTTGTCTGTAGCGCTGTGTATCCCCAATAGTATAGACTAGTGAATTCCCATGAAAGCATCAATAAAAGATGCCCAAAGGCTTGAAAATTCTAAAATTTTCGCACCCAATTTATAATTCAGCTACAGAACATCGTCACAGTATAATTTAAAATGTTTAAGCGAAGAGGGAGAAATAATCATTTTTAATTCTATTCAAATGGGAAGTTTAACATATTTTTCACGTCAAACGTTTGCTTTTCAAATTTCAATTATTCCATTTTCATTTGCAAAGCAACTCGTACTCTCTGAATGGGAAATGTGTGGGCTATACTAATTTTAAATGAGCGATTAACATAATGTCATACGAAATTTGTGATGCGAATATTAAAAGTGTCCACACTGTACGCATACAGAATTATGAAAACAGCTTCAACAGGTATTAACGTTTCATTGTTTAAGAAGATCCCTCATGAGCCGAAAATTTAAAACAAGTAACAGATTAAAATGGGGCCCAATTAAATGATGAATACTCCATCCTTACACGGGCTCGTTGGCGTTCGATCCCCAGCGTGCCCAACATTTCAATCGATTTATAATGTTTGATGAAATATGTTGGATTTCGTCTAGAAATCTAGATATCACATGGGTGGTAAGAATATCGGAGATCCAACCGGATAAGGAACCACCGTCCACAGATGAAAAAGGCGTACAGTTCAATCACGCATCGGTTTCAGTCCGTGGATCTCCGAATATCCAAAACCAAAATAGATCGACAGCGCATTTTGCTTAGATGCTATAGGCTGAAGTATTGCACCGACCATCAACCGCGTGCTGATCTGTCCTTTTCTATCATTAAAAAAAACTTGAGACTATATATTGGTATGAATGAACAGTGTTTTAAGAACTTCATCTCTGTAGTTAACGCAAGTAAATTAGAGTAGTTTATTTAAATATTTACGATAAACACTTTTAGACGGTTTAAAGGTGAAATATATTAGCTAACTCATTTTAAATTTAAGCATTGGTTGTTTGCAAGGCCAAAAATTTAGCATGCATCCAATATTGGTGTCGCGAATCGTTTGGTGCTTTGAGCACGCGGTCACATTATGACGAACATATTAGCCTTCTGCATGTAAATAGTGCGTTAAGGGCAAACATATGAAAGTATTTAATATGTTTTACGTTACCAAAAAATACATCTTTCAAAAATATTATTTAATAGTAGGTTTTTGGTGAAAGAACTGCTGAGTTAAGGTCGCCTTATGTATTAACAACGACGTCGAACCGTGGTTAAAAATGTATTTTTAAATAAAACGTTTTCACACTAATACAGTTTAAACGTTTTGTAAGAGCATTCGAATCGTTGGACCATATTTAAAATGAATTGCAAATAAATTACTAATATATTTCGAGTTTTAAAACGTTAAAATGTTATAATTTAAATATAATGCTGTAATTAACATTATTCGGAGCTAATGTCTAATACGCCGATCGCGGATTAGAAATATTAATGTTTGCGTATAGTAAGCCTTATGCGCACGCGCCAAACCCGTGGCGATGGGAGACACGGCCGGCACGCCCATCGTTTGATCTGTTGACAACTCGTCAAGCCCAATTGCGATTTAACCTATGTTTAACCTCAATCACAACAACACACTCTTTCACACGACTGCTTCGTGTCTAGTTATCTAGTATTCCCACAGCTGGGCATAGAACGGACGCATTATTATGTCCATTTTTATTTACAGCAAGCATATCCCAAAATATCCCATCCTCAGAATGTCTAAACAAGATGTGCTGTAGACTGTTTCGGCTATGTGCGACTTTATTAGAGAGCTCAGGAATTTGCCTTTACATTGCTTGCTCCTCTGTCATAAAAAGAAGCCATAAGTAACGATAAAAATATGTATTGTAAAATATAATACACATATATAGTGAAGTCGGTTGGTTGATCTCTCTATTTAATTTTATAACTAGGCTTTAAGTTACAACAAATTGTTTTAAAGTTGTTTAAAATACACTTTTTCGTAATATAAATTTCTGTTCTTACTTACTTTAAGTTATCAACATTAAGTTTTAAATGCCATATACATAGTATAGACCTTGGTTTTTTAAACACGTCTATATATATTTTAATTATATACTTTACGTAGCTTGTTTACTAGTACAGACTTCGCAAAAAATATAATTGTAATAAATTAGCGTATTTCAAAAAATTAATATATATGTCAGTCTGTTTACGCGAGCAGTACCTACCCCCATTACCACGGCTACTGCAAAGCAACCTACACGTCGGGCTTTTATTACCTAAAGTAAACGAAAAACAAATTGTCTAATATGTTATATTACAATTTCTGAAGCTTTGTGTAGTCATGCTGATATAGAGAAGGGGCACACAACAACCATTTCTTGAAAAGCCCCCTTTCACAAACACACAGAAAAAATAAAAGAATCCGATTTAATAATTTTAAATAACAAAAGTTTGTATTTTTAGCGAGCCACAGCCGAGGGTTGATTGTACTGCTGTAGACTGTTCCCGCATATTTCCCTTCGGGTTTCGCAAAATGAGTCCCTATATGTCGTGAGGCAGTAATCGAAGTCAGCCCGAAGGGGTCAATGATGCAGCTCCTGCATAATGTATGGTGATCCAAAGTGCGTTTACCTCGGACGTCTGCATTCTTAACTTGATCCCGGGTGGTTGAACCATGCCCTTTACCCTGCACTGACATCACTCGAACGATGCTACATCAAAATTTATAGCCTCGCCTATAAATAATGTCTGAACAAAGTCTGACAGACGTCCGATCTAATATTATGCCCAACAGGAATCCGAGATGATCCATATACCTGTATATGGATCATCTCGGATTCAGATCATGAGCGTTTATTATTATTATATATAAACCCCCAAAATTATAGATATATAGAGATATAGAGAGAGAAACAACAACATTAATTCAAAAACGTAAAAAAATGTTTTCTTCTTCTTTTACGCATATCTCTTTACAAAGAAGAGGTTAGAGGGCCCCTCTGAACTTCGGAGCATTGTACCACCAAAAGGTTATAGGACCCCTTTAAGCTCCGGGGCTCTGGTGGACCTGTAAAAGCTATGCCACTGATATAACATCTAAAAATTATACGCTGTCTATTTTTATTTTTGGCTTTAGACATTTTGAAATTCGTAGACCGAAACGTCGTATACACGTCCCGGTTTTTTCTCCAGTAGATGGTAGCCGGTGATCCGGACGGAATACGATATAAGATTACAACAAAACATATTCATTTTATTTATTATGCATTTAATATTTATAACACATACCACAAAAAAATTGTGTTACATGTTTAGAAACTTCTGTTAAATAGTTTTCGAAAACCTGGTGGAATTTTAACCCGGTAAAAAACCACATCGATAATAATACATTAAATGTACACACGATAACAAGCTAATAAACTGTACTGATATTTCAATGTTAATAAGGTAAGGTCAACTCCCAAAAAGGATAACAAACTCGCGTGCCGACTCGAATTTCCTATATCGTCGTGGTATAAGGAAAATAATATTATTTTAAAGCTCATTAAGAATCAATCAAACGAAACGATTAATTAATACACCTTCTAATTGCGTTTGACATACTTGCGTTTGGTCACGTACGCATCGCCTAAACTATTGGTTTTCAATAAAAATGCTATCACCCTTAATGGGAGCGAACATTAGGTAAAATACAGTTTGACCCTAATGTCATTCTGCAATAATTAAATTAGTAACCGCGAGAAAAACTCATCATCATTAGCCATTGACGTATTTAGTTTATTTGGATGGCTTTATGCAATGTGTTTGGCAATAAATATGTTATAATTTTATTAAATATTTATATTATTATAGAACTAGGGGTAAATAGTTTAATTATTTGTAGTATTTAAAGGTATGAGGCTTTACAAATATGTTACCTAATTGTCTATATCGCCGTCAAAAAACATCATACTGTATACAGAAAAGATGAGCTTTTTCTAGAAAGTTCTTTGAATAACGAAATTAACAACCACCGTTTAAGTTCAACTGTAGTTAAACAATTTGTAGAAAGTCAACTTAAAAATAGTTTATATGTATCGTAAATGCGTCACACGATTGCTTCAAATCTGTAATGTCTTAAGTCATTATAAAATAAAGAATTCTTAAGGCTCTCTCGCATAAGGCTTTTAATGGTTGGGACAGGGCACGCGCCTCTATTAATTCGGAAAGCCTACGTGACTGCAGGCAGGGATCGTAAACCTACTTCTCATCATAACTAATGAATCAATTCGGTTCGTCTTTTTAATTGCTACCTGTAATTAATAATGAATTCTACGTATGTTTGTAGATACTATATTGATGCGTAGAACTTGTTGTAGTTGTTTACATTTGTGTGTGGGTTCCGTAGATAGAGGGTGAAACCTCCCATAAAACACACATTTAATTTTATAGGTACGGAACCATCGGCGCGACTCGACTTTAACAGGCAGTTTTAAACAAATAATTCTTTTAACCCTCTAGTTTTATAATTACCAGTGCCAGCTTAATAATCTACAATTGCGTTTGCAATAAAGAACTTAAGTTAATTGGATAATTGTTTTCGTACAAAACCTCAAATTAAAGCGATTATATGAATACCGCTAATGTAATTATATTCTCATTGCGCTATAACTCTCTTCACAAAATGGCCGAATCAAAAGAAAATGGAGAATTTGATGATTCGTTAAAATTGATAAAACAAGCGTTGTGGGTGTGCGGAATCGATTTATTCGAAACTGAACAATCGATTAGAATCGATAACAGATTTTTATTCTACATCACTTTTGTTTGGCTGTATTATGACGTGTGTGGTGAAATTTATTGTTTGTATGATTTCGCTTTATCTGGAAAGAGTGTACAGGAGATATCTTTGATCGCGCCTTTTCCGTTTGTATGTGCGATGGGAACGAGTAAAGCTGCATGCGTGTACTTTCATAAAGATGTCGCTTTGAGAGTCTTACGAAAACTAAGAGATTTACATCCTAAAAATGATGCAACTTTCGAAGTGAAGACAAAAGAAGAAACGATGAAATTATTGTCTAAGTTCAAGATTTTGATGTGTTTCGGTCTATCCGGTGCTGCGATATTATTTGATATAGCTCCGTTTATTGCGATGGGCATAGATTATTATGAGATCGGGCACACACAACTAAAGTTGCCATATTTAGTTAAATTCTTTTACGATCCGTATGGGATGTATGTATGGCCATTTGAATTTGTACACCAAGTGGGGTCTTGTAAGTAAATAATTTGTAAGAAAACATGGTTAATTAAAAATCGATTGGTCTTGAACTGGCATCCACAGCTTTCTCTATAATCAATTATCTATATATTTATAATCGATTTTCAGCCTTTGTCGTAGTGGTGAGCCTGTTTGGTCCAGATTTACTTTTCTACGCATTTTCTTTATACACGCGAATGCAATTTGACATTTTATGCCACCGCTTCGAGAGATTAAATATTTCGAAGCATAAAGATACCTCAAATGAATTCAGAGATCTGGTTATAAGGCACAAAGATTTAATCGAGTAAGGGTTCCTCCATTTAAATCAAACAATTTTAATGGTTTGAAACGCAAATGGTATGAACTTAATTTAATTACTGCCACAAGTTTTTTTCGTGTATTTTACTTATAATAACGTATGTGCACAGATGTCCATTCGTGTTGTTCTCCAGAATAATGATACTATGCCTAGAATTTTGATCCGGAGAAAAGAACAGAGGGTTTTTGTATGGTATAGTTGAAGTTGTTCTATTATTTGCGTTAGTGGTGACGGGGGACCGCAGAAACGTCGGGTAGTTGTAAAAAAGAAATTTATTATTTTCTTTCAGGTTTCAAACTGTTAAACATGGCGTCTTTGTTGTGTATATAGGCATAAAAACTTACGTATTTAACTTGTTGCGTTGTTTTTCAGGTTGGTGAACCAAATTCAGACAATTTTCTCCATATCGATGCTAGTGAATATTATAATCAGTTCATTCATAATATGCCTGTGCGGATTTAATACGACGGTAAATAATACATATATAAATCAATTTGGTCACAAAAATCCTCCATCATCACCCCAAACAATTAAAAAAATGTTATACTTGAAAGTACCTACTGAATGAAAATTTTTTTCAATCTACGATGATGCCTTGACTTTCTTGGACCACCTTGGGAATATTTACTTTCCAACAATAAAATAAACGACAAAGTTATGTCCAACCAAACGTGAAAAGCACACAATCGAATCGAATTGAGAACCAATTTTTTAAAAGTACAGACCAAGATTTTTTCCTATTTCAGTTTATCAACGATGTTGGTTCAGCACTTGGATTCTTCAACTTTTTCATCAACAGTTTGTTTCAAATATTTATGATCTGCTATTTCGGTGACATTATACGGGATTCAGTAAGATATTTTTCAATCCATTTAATTTTTATAGATTGATATGGAATGGCATAGACTAGCGACCCAGGAACTGCGAGCCGAATTAATAACTGTGAAGAGTTTAATTGGGTAATGGGTAGTGGATACAAGGCTTGTCTGCGTGTCTTTTAGTAATGATAGCGGAGGTCAGACGAGCATGGTATTTACTTGATAGTAGACGATATACCCCAGCCTATAGCATCTGTCTGGTGCGCTGTCGACCTATCTTAGCTTTGGATATTTGGAAATAGACAGACTGAAATCGAAACGCGATTAATACTTCACGGCTTTTTTCATCTGTGAACAGTGGTTCGTCACTCGGACAAAATTTCTATATACCCCTATAATATCCAGATGTCCAGACGAAGTCCAACGTGTTTCAGAAAATTATAAATTGATAAAATTAGAAACATGTCTATAGTTTACGCGAGTAGTACACATTTAAATAAAACACTTTAACGGTTTATAACGCGATATATTAGTTAAACTTATTTGAAAATGATTTTTAACTCGTCTCCTGGTGACCACGGCTGCTGCAAAGCATCCGAAACGTCGGGCCGAAGTTAAAAATCATTTTTAAATAAGTTTAACTAATATATCGCGTTTTAAACCGTTAAAGTGTTTTATTTAAATTAGAAACATGCTGGACTCGGTGGGAATCGAACCAACACCCTTGACACTAAGGAGCCCGTCAAATGTCAAATTTTCTGTATTTTCCAGAGCTCAGCGATTTTCGACGCAGTATATAACATTAAATGGTACATTGCGGACCCAGCTTTTAAGAACGACATTTTTATATTATTTATGAGGTATGTAACCCTAATTGATCAACCACCAATGTTCGTTTCAAAACTATGTTTCTTATACAGGTCACGAAAACCGTGCGTTCTATCCGCGGCTGGGTTTACAACGCTAGACCGAAGCACTTTCGCGACGGTGAGTCAATATATCCCTAATATAGCGGTGCAATGGAGTAACGTGTTTGGTGGAAACGTGTGAAGGTTTTCTTCAAGATTTATAGGTTGAAACGAAGTCTATTTATCCTTCAAAATCCAATCCAATATCGGGTCACGAACCACAGTTCACAGATGAAAAAGCCGTCAAGTTTAATCGTGCTTTGATTTCAGTCTGTGGATTTCCGAATATCCAAAGCCAAAATAGTCGACAGCGCATCTTGTTTAGATGTTATATGGTTAGATGTTAGGTGAGACATCTCACCCAACATCTAGAGAACCTTTGGGATGAGGAGTAAAGTTTCATTAAATAATTAAATTTTTATATAAAATGAGGGAATAAATTATTTAAATCAGACATTTTTAACGGTTTAAAACGCGAAATATTGTAACTTCATAACCGCGACCGGACGTTTTGGACGGTATAGAGCGGCCACATTACACGTGTTTATTTGTTATGTGTGTGTGTAAAAGTAACTAAACTAGATATGTGTTATAGCTACAAATATAGACGATTAATTGTTTTTTTTTCAGATTCTGAGTCGTTCCTGGTCGTACTTCGCTTTATTGAGAACAATGTATCCTTAAATCGACTTTCAGTACACAGTTCCAATCAATATGAGATCTACTTGAATACCAAAGATCTCTATTTAGAATTAATCATAATTGCGGTATTCCACATGAATAAAAAACGGCGAAATATTCGCACCGATCATGAAAGACGATGACAGTTACCATTTATTGACGTCAAAAGGATAATGTATTCAATTTCGTACAACAACATCCAATAAATGCAAATTATATCCAGTTTTTCGCAGTAATAACTCTACTGGCGCCGATTATGTAAAATAAGAGATCCTTAAACCTTACTGCTGCCATCTACTTACTACTATAATATTTTGTATTTTGTATAGTTTTTGCGAGTATAACATTTAAATTAAAAACAAAAGTGTTATTTTCACGGCTTAAAACGATAAATAAATTATATACAATCTATTGTAACTACGGCTCGATGTTTCGAAAGGTTTTCGTTGTCCCCGGGGGGGATTAAAAGGGGGGGGGTGCCCCCATTCCAAAAAAAAAAATCCCCCGCCGCCCCCCCCTTTTTTTCCCCCTTTTTTTTTTTGAAAAGGGGGTTTCCCCCCCTTACTTTGTCAATAAAATGATGGAGGATGGATGGGTGTGACACCCCCCACCTTTTTAACTATTTGGGGTGGCCCCCCCCCCTTTTTTTTTTTTTCCCCCCCCCCCCCCCCTTTTTCTCCCCCCCCATATTTTTTTTTTTTTTTGCCTTCCCCCCCCCCCCCCCCCCCCAACCAGGGGGGGCCCCCCCCCCCCCCCCCCCCCCCCCCTTTTTTTTTTTGGTACAAAGTCATGCAATAGATCATGATTGCGTATCCCATTTGAATTTTTAGTTGTGAAACATATATAAATTATTGAATAAAATAATACTGAATTTAAGAATTTACTGCACCAAATTATGTAAATTTAATTGGTATTGATGAGAAAATATTTCAGCATTTTAGATTAATAAATTTTTATTAGTACAAGAAACGACATTATTATTTGAGAAATAGCTACGTTGTATTATTATTTCTGGTCATGGATTGTCTTTTCAAATAACAAAGCTAATGAGAACTTCTAAAGTGAACTTGTTTTTTTTTAACTAATAAAATTTTACATATCGAGTTCTTTAAAATTGTGTCCACAAATACAGTCTGTAGTTTACGCGAGTAATACACACTTAAATAAAAACTGCAACTGCAACGGTTTAAAACGCGATATATAGTAGTTAAACTTATTTTAAATAATTTTAACTATGGCCCAACGTTCCGGATGCTTTACAGCAGCCGTGGTCACGGGGAGACTAAAGATGGATGATGTCTCTACGTGTAAAAAACCGCCACTGTTCCGTCAAAGTTGGCGATAGTGACGGTGGAACCTATCTTAATAAACGTTAAATTAATAAAAACCTTAAAAATAAATATCTCATTCATTTGTAAATCAACTCTTTATTTATAAGTAATTTAAATAAATAATTAAATTAGTACGGAACTATTCAAATAAGTTTCTGCAGAGGTCTTTTAAAGAGTGAAGACCAGTTTAGCGTTCGTTTGACGCGAGATGATTTTGCCACATTACATAATATGGAAATTATCTTGACTGAATCTGACTCATGCTCTTTGTCACTGATCTCATTTGATGCACTCTGAATGCAAACGCATACACTAAGACTATTGTCTCATATAAACAGTGACATACAGCGTCAAAGTTAGACCGCGTTCTGGTTTCAGAGGAGGACAGAGAAGCATGGTTTTCTTGTTGGGAGGTGAAATACTTTAGGCTGGGCCTATAGCACCTAAACTAGTTGCGCTGTCGACCTATTTTGACTTTGGATATTCGGAAATCCACAGACAAAGCGAAACGTGATTCACTGCTTTGTCATCTCTGGACGGTGGCCCGGACGAAATTTCGATATTCCTGCCACTCATTTAATATCCAGATTTCCAGACATGTTTCAGACAAAACATAAATTAAAAAATTTAAGTCAGATACGACAGCGCAATGCTGTTTGATTAAGTAAGATTAGTTAAACGAGTTGGATTAAGCGGGATTGGTGCTAGGTTCAAATCCCCGGGGAAACAATACATTTAGTCGGTCGGCATAGGGTCAGTGGAACGGATTCTGAAAGGTTTTTTTGCTCCAAGCCCTATGCTGAATAATGGGGATTCTAGCATGCTCTTATTTAAAGAACACTGTGCAACATAATCTAGTTAGCTATATCGAATTTATTATATAGCATACTGTATCATCGCGTTTATAGGAGACCAAAGCCTTAGCAGGCGCCATGATCTCGCCCCATGCAAGGGGCAGATGACT